GAGGAAGTGGAGGAGGAGGAGGAGGAGGAGGAGGAGGAGGAGGAGGTAGAGGAAGAGGAGGTGGAGAGGAGGGTGGAGGTGAAGGAGGAGGAGAAAGAAGAAGAAGAAGAAGAAGGAGAAGAAGAAAAAGCAGGAGAGGAATTATAATAATGATAATGATAATATAGGAGGAGAAGGAGGAAGAAAAGAAGAAGACCCGGAGGCGGAGGAGGGTAGGCACGTACCTGGGAAGGAGGAGGAGGAGGAAGTGGAGGAGGAGGAGAAGGAAGAAGAAGAAAAAAAAAGAAGAAGAAGCGCAGACACGTACCTGGGAAGGAGGAGGAGGAGAAGGAGGAAGTGGAGGAGAGGAGAGGTGGAGGAGGGGGGAGGGGAGGGGAGGAGGAAGAGGAGGAGGAGGAGGGGAAGTCAGAGGAGGAGGAATGGAGGAAGAGGAAGGGGAGGAGGAGGAGGAAGAGGTGGAGGAAGTGGGGAGGAGGAGGAGGAGGTGAAGGAAGGGAGGGAAGTGGAGGAGGAGGCGGAGGAGGGTAAGACACGTACCTGGAGGAAGTAGGAGGTGGAGGAGGAGGAGGAAGTGGAGGAGGGGAGGGAGGGGAGGGGAGGGAAGGGAAGGGAAGGGAGGGGGGGAGAGAAGGAGGAAGAGGAAGTGGAGGAGGAGGAGGAGGAAGTAGAGGAGGAGGGAGAGGGAGGGGAGATGGAAGTGGAGAAGAAGAAGAAGAAAGCAGGAGGAGGAGGAAATATAATATTAATGATAAATAAATAATAATAATAATAAGAGGATGAGAAGAAGAAGAAGAGGAGGAAGAGGAAGAAGAAGAAGAAGGAGCAGAAGGGAGGAAGGGTAACAGTACCTGGGAAGAAGGAGGAGGAAGAGTAAGTGGAAGAGGGAGGAGGAGGAAGTGGAGGGGAGGAAGTGGCAGAGGAGGAGGAGGAAGGGCAAGTGGAGGAGCGAGGAAGGGAGGCAGGAGGAGGAAAGTGGAGGAGGAGGAGGAGGAAGAAGAGGAGGAGTGGGAAGGAAGTGGGCAGAGGAGGAGGAGGAAGTGGCAGAGGAGGAGGAGAAAGTGGAGGAGAAAGGAGGAGGAAGTGGAAGAGAAGGAGGAGGAGGAGAAGAGAAAAGGAGAGGAGGAGTAAGAAGGCAAGGCTAGGAGGAGAGGAGAAAAGGAGGAAGAAGAAGGAGGAGGAAGGAGAAGAAGAGCAGGAGGAAGGGGAGGGAGGCAAATGCAGAGTAGGGGAGGAGGAGGAGGAAAAAGAAAGATGATGAAGAAGAAAAAGAAGAAAAGGTGGAAGAAGGGAAGGTAAAGGGGGAGATAAACTAGGAGGAGGAGGAGAAGAAGGAAAGACAAAGAAGGAGAAGGAGGAAGAGGAAGAGTAGAGGGTGTGAGGCATCCACTGGATGGAACGATGCCCCTCTTTGTGTCTGTCTGTCTCGCTCTCTCTCTTCTTCTGCCTGCCATGTCTGTCTGCTTCTCCTCTCTGTTTTGCGCTTTCTCTTCTCTTTCTTTTGGTCTGCCTGTGTGTCTGGGTTTGCGTCTGGCCTGCCTGTCTCATCTGTCTATGTCTGTGTTTTGCCTCTCTCTCTCTCTCTCCTCCTCTCTCTCTCTCCATGCTCATCTCTCTCCTCTCTCTCTCGTCTCCTCCTCTCTCTCATCTCATCTCTCCTCTCTATGTGCTTGTCCCTCTCTCTCGTCTGGCTCTGCTCAAAATGCTCTCTCTCTCTCTCTCTCTCGTCTCTCTCTCTCGTTCTCTCTCTCTCTCTCTCTCTCTATCTTCTAAGTCCTCTCATCTCTCTCACACACGAATAAGTTTTTTTTTGGGGGGGGGGGGGGGGAGGTGGGGGGGGGGAGGGGTGGGGGGGGGTGGGGGGGGGGGGGGGGGGGGTGTTTTTGGGTTGTTTTTTTGTTTTGGTTGTTGTTGTTTGTTTTTTGGTTTGGTTGTGTGGGTGTGGGTTTGTTGGGTTTGTTGGTGGGGTTGTTGGGTGTATGCAGGTGGTGGGTTTTTGGGGTGTGTGGGTGGGGGGTGTTTGGTGGTTTTGGGTGGTTGGGTTGGGGTTTTGGGCAAACACCCTCACCCTCTCTCCGCGTCTATCCCTTTTCTCTTCTCTCTCTCTCTCTCTCTCTCTCTCTCTCTCTCTCTCTCTCTCTCTCTCCTCCTCCTCTCTCCTCTCTCTCCTCTCTCTTCTCCCTTCTCTCTCCTCTTCTCTCTCTCTCTCTCCTCTCTCTCTCTCTCATCTCTCTCTCTCTCTCTCTCCTCTCTCTCTCTCGTCTCTCTCTTCTCTCTCTCTCTCTCCTCTCCTCTCTCTTCTCTCCCTCTCTCCCAACCAACAAACAAATAGAAACAAACAAACACAACGACCACAACAGACAAAAAAAAAAAAAAAAAAAAAAAAAAAACAGGGGAGAGAATACGTCTAATATATCGAAAATAGATCGTATGCTCGAGGAATGCCGAGGGTACCGCTTTTTTTTTTTTTTTTTTTTTTTTTTTTTTTTTTTTTTTTGTTTTGTTTTTTTTTTTGGCCCCCACCTCTCCCTCTAATACCCCCCCCTCGCTGCACACCAACACCACCACCCAACACACCACAAACACCCCACCACACACCACGAGACCACCACATCCCCACCGTACTGATTCCGCTGACAGCCGCCCGTTTGTGCGGCCTAGTATGTTTCTCCCTCCCCCTCCACCCCTACTATACCTCCCGCCCCCCCCTCCAGTCCTAGCCCCCTGCCACCTTAGGTCACAACCCCCTCCCTTCCCCTAGTCCAAGCCCCCCCCGCCCGCCTCCCCAATCCCCCCACACCCTACTCTACCCCTCCCCTCACCACCAAGCACCCACACCCCCTCCATCGCCGCGGCACATACGTACACATACCCGCAGCCTCCAACCCACAACAACACAAACACAACCACCACACCACCACACCACAACACAAACACCACTCCCCCCCTACGTACGGAAACATATTTCTGACTTGGGGCGTTAGGTAACCCCTCCCTTTATAGGTAACATATTTTCTCTGCGCACTGTGGGGCTCGTTAAGGTAACTTAACTTTTTAGTCCGGTATACATATTTCCTGACTTGGGGACTGAGTTTTGGTAAACCCTTTAGTACGTAACATATTTCTGAACTTGGGGCTGTTACGTAACCCCCTTTAGTAAGGTAACATATTTCTGACTTGGGGCTGTTTAATAACCCTTAAGTAAGGTAACATATTCTGACTTGGGGCCTGTTAAGTAACCCCCTTAGTAGGGTAAACATGTTTTGACTTGGGCTGTTAAGTAACCCCTTTATATATTCCTGACTTGGGGCTGTTAGGTAACCCCTTTAGTAAGGTAACATATTTCTGACTTGGGGCTGTTAAGTAACCCCTTTAGTAAGGTAACATATTTCTGACTTGGGGCTGTTAGGTAACCTCTTTAGTACGGTAACATATTTCTGACTTGGGGCTGTTAAGTAACCCCTTTAGTACGGTAACATATTTCTGACTTGGGGCTGTTAAGTAACCCCTTTAGTACGGTAACATATTTCTGACTTTGGGCTGTTAGGTTAACCCTTTAGACGGTAACATATTTCTGACTTGGGGCTGTTAGGTAACTCTTTAGTAAGGGTAACATATTTCTCTGACTTGGGGCTGTTAGGTAACCTCTTAGTAGGTAACATATTTCTGACTTGGGGCTGTTAGGTACCTCTTAGTACGGTAACATATTTCTGACTTGGGCTGTTAGGTAACCTCTTTAGTACGGTAACATATTCTCTGACTTGGGGCTGTTAGGTAACCTCTTAGTACGGTAACATATTTCTGACTTGGGGCTGTTAGGTAACATATTCTGACTGGGCTGTTAGGTAACCTTTAGTACGGTAACATTTTCTGACTTGGGGCTGTTAGGTAACCCCTTTAGTACGGTAACATATTTCTGTGAACTTGGGGCTGTTGGTAACCCCTTAGTAAGGTAACATATTTCTGACTTGGGGCTGTTAGGTAACCCCTTTAGTAAGGTAACATATTTCTGATTTGGGGCTGTTAGGTAACCTCTTTAGTACGGTAACATATTTCTGACTTGGGGCTGTTAAGTACCTCTTTAGTACGGTAACATATTTCTGATTGGGGCTGTTAAGTAACCTCTTTAGTACGGTAACATATTTCTGATTTGGGGCGTTAGGT